CCTTCCTTCCTTCCTTCCTTCCTTCCTTCCTTCCTTCCTTCCTTCCTGTGCAGGGGTTAGAATGGAGTATTGCAAGCTAATTCTGCTGGCTGCCAGCCGTTCAATCCTGACCGGCTCCAGGTTGACTCAGCCTTCCCTCCTTCCGAGATCGATCAAATGAGGACCCCGATTGTTGGGGGCAAGAGGCTGACTCTGTAAACCGCGTAGAGAGGGCTGGAAAACACCACGAAGCAGTATAATAAGTCTAAGTGTTATTGCTATCCATGCAGCAACTTTCGATCGTGGTCTCACCTGGTGATCCAACTTCCTTCACAGCATTCGCCAGGACTTGGCTCGCAAAAAATCTTCAAGGCGCCTCTGTGGACAGTTCAGCCAAATCAGTTTGAAGCTCCCCCGGATCCCCCTTCGCCGTCAGAAGTTGCCAAAAGTTGTAGGTAAGGATCCACTCCGCTACATGGCCTTGGTCATGGTTAATGGACCTGAAATGGGGAGCGGGGGGCTGATGCCAGACTGATATTTTTGTGACCCCCTCCCTCTGGAGGTCCCTGGCAGGGAAAAAAATTCCAAACTGAGCCATTGCACGGCCTTACAGCAGCATCCCTCATCTTTGTCAACTTTTAAGGCAGGTGGACTTCAACTCCCAGAATTCCCCTGGGGAATGTCGGCGGTGGAATTCTGGGAGCTGAAGTCCACTCATCTTAAAGTTGCCAAGGTATCAGGATTCCAACAGTTACTCCCATTTAAATCATGAGTCTCGAGCCAAACTTGAAAAGGATTTATTGAGAGTTAACATGTCCAGCGTTGCCTGGGTGCAGCCAACTCTGAGACACATCATTCCTTGTCACCTTTGACCCTGGTTTTCCCCCGCCCCCTGGGGGTATCATAATTCATATTCTCCAATGGGAGACATCCATAGCCAAGAGTCATCAATCATGTTCTTCAGTTTGAATTTTGTGCAGCAGAAACTTCGATCACTTAGTTACTATCTTTGAAAACATTTATGGAATGCACTTTCGGTTGCAAGCTGTCGCACTGCTCCCCCCTCCCTTTCTGTTGGCAATTCTAAACAGAATTATAGACAGAATTATCTAAAATAATAGAATTATTTTATGAGTTGACACAAGTTTGAGAAACACTGCCTTGTGGAGAGGTAAATTCTGCCTCCACCCCCCGAAAAAAAAGTGTGAGATCCCAGCAGAGAAGGAAAATGCACGGAGTGAGGCTTGCTTTGGTAGCTCGCCTCAATCCTTCTGATGGGAGCTTCTTGTAGCAGTCTGGCAGCCTGGGTCATTCATCTTCACAACATACAGGAACAAGAAATGCTTTGTTCAGCGATGGGGAGTTGAGCTGCCCATTTAATGGGGCAGGGACAGCCCTTGGGCACTAAGTACCCCAGCCACCTGGCTAGATTCTCAGGTGACGGAAGTCTCTTGCACGGGAGAGACTCAAGGAGAAAAGGAGATGGCGCTCTCGGCTGTAAGGAGAGTTTTAGAATTTATAACAGAACAACAGAGTTGGAAGGGACCTTGGAGGTCTTCTAGTCCAACCCCCTGCTCAGGCAGGAAACCCTATACCATTTCAGACAAATGGCTGTCCAATCTCCTCTTAAAAACCTCCAGTGTTGGAGCACCCATAACTTCTGGAGACACGTTGTCCCAATGATTAATAGTTCTGATTAATGATGGGGACAAATTCTAGAGAAGCTGAAGAAGCTTCTTGGATGAGAAGCGAAACTTCTTCCAAAGGAAAAAGCCAGAAAGTCCAGTTGCCTCTTGAAAAGCCCCTTTGGGGCAACCATATCCTGGATGACTGAGAGCCTCTGCGCACTTTTTGCCATACAACTCTGGGATGAGCCCCCTCCAGACGGTGTGGGAGGAGGAATGGATTTCCAGAGAGAGAGAAAATTGCAGACTACAGGATCACTCAGGTGACCCTGAGGACACACATAAACCTCCAAGGGGCCTCACTGACCCTCTGAAAGGATGCAAATGACCAGCTGTCTGCAAGGAGTATAAATCCTTCCATTCCCCACCATCCAGTCAGAGCTGAAGAAGCTTCTGGGATGAAAAGTGAAACGTCTTCAGAAGGAAAAACAAGAAAGTCCACCTTTGGGACATTCTGTAAAAATCACATAAAATCACAAATAATAGGGCTGGAAAGGATTTTGTGCTGTTGTTCAGTTGCTACGTCATGTCCAGTTCCCAGAAGCCCATGGATACAGGATGGCAGGTCCCTCTGTCCCCCACTATCTCCCTGATTACACCCAACTGTGTCAATGACACCGTCAGAAAGGATCTCAAAGGTCATCTAGTCCAACCCTCTGCTCAGGCAAGATACATGAACAAGGAGAGATTTAACCTGGAAATAAGGATAAACTTTCTGACAGTGAAAACAGTCAACCCATAGGAGCATCATCACTTGAGACTTTCCAGAGGAGACTGGACTGCCATCTGTCAGAAATGGTGTAGGGTCTCCTGCTTGGGCAGGGGGTTGGACTAGATGACCTACAAAGTCCCTTCCAACTCTGATTATCTGTAAAAGAACCTTTACATTTTAACGTCCTTCTGGAGAAATGGCTGTCCAAACTCTTCTTCAGTCCTCCTCCAGTGATGGAGCCCAACCCTTCTGGAGGGAAGCCATGCCACGGATCGACTGTTCTTACCGCCAGGACATTTCTCCTTAGCCAGGGTTGGAGGAAATGTCGCCCTCCCCTCCCCTGCCTGGGTGGATGCTCCTTTCCAGCCAAAAGAAAACAGGGAGCAAATTATTGGCACCCAGATGGTCTCTTTGGCTGCAGAGGGGCTCCTGATCTCCTGCTTCTGCAGAGCAAAATAAACTCCTTTTAAGCGAACGTTTGAAAATCAACAAGCAGCAGCCGCCAGTCAAACTCTTTATGATCGAGGGACATCATTTTAACCAGGCCCATCTGTCTAAAATGGCCTTCTTGATTTTGGCGGGCCCTTTTTCAGTTTTGATTCCCTCCCCCCCACCCAAAGCACCAATGCCTGATTTTTGACTTTGAATTGCGCCTCCAAACTATTTAAGCTTTAATCTGGTGCTTCCAGTGAACAACTGGCTTTATTTCAGCTATTAAAATGTTTGTTATTCTTGGGCTCCAAGGTCTTTTTCCAGCGCATTCACAGGCAATGGTGGGACTGTTCAGCTGTAGCTTTCTCTGTATCTGTAATAGAACAAAGACTGTCACAACTTATGTCACACAACAGGGAAAGCTGTGGCCTTGACGGCATGAGCCTTTAGGATAGGATAGGATAGGATAGGATAGGATAGGATAGAGCAAAATAAGGAATAGAATAAAATAGATCAAAATAACTAATAGAACATAATACAGCAAAATAAAGAATAGAATAGAGTAGAGTAGAATAGAATAGAATAGAATAGAATAGAATAGAATAGAATAGAATAGAATAGAATAGAATAGAATAGAATAGAACAAAATGGGGAATAGAATAAAGTAGAGTAGAGTAGAGTAGAGTAGAATAGAATAGAATAGAATAGAATAGAATAGAATAGAATAGAATAGAATAGAATAGAATAGAACAGAACAAAATGGGGAATAGAATAGAGCAGAGTAGAGTAGAATAGAATAGAATAGAATAGAATAGAATAGAATAGAATAGAATAGAATAGAGCAAAATAAGGAATAGAATAGAATAGAATAGAACAGAACAGAATAGATAGAGTAGAATAGAATAGAACAAAATAAGGAATAGAATAAAATAGAATAGAACAGAACAGAATAGGAATAGAATAGAATATAACAAAATAAGGAATAGAATAAAATAGAATAGAATAGAACAGAACAGAACAGAACAGAACAGAACAGAACAGAACAGAATAGAATAGAATAGAATAGAATAGAATAGAATAGAATATTAGAGTTGGAAGGGACCTTGTAGGTCTTCTAGGCCAACCCCTTGTCCAAGCAGGAGACCCTACACCATTTCTGACAGATGGCAGTCCAGTCTCTTCTTGAAAGCTTCCAGCGATGAAGCTCCCACAACTTCCGAGGGCAACTTCTGTTCCATCGGTTGATGGTTCTCACGGTCAGAAAATTCCTCTTATGCTTTTCTCCTATCTGGAAAAAAGCTAATCCAAGGGATCAAATCCCCAGAGCTATTTATTGGAAAGAAGATAAGAACGTTATCAGAGGAAATGCAGCAGACACTGTTGGTGTCAAGTGAGAAGTCTATGCCGGTAGTCCTCAACTTACGACCAGATTTGAGACCAACATTTATGTTGCTAAGGGAGACATTTGCTAAGTGAGTTTTGCCCCATTTTATGACCTTTCTTCACGTTGTTAAGTTAATCTGTCTGGAAGCTTCTCCTTAATTCCAGGTTGTTTCTCTCCTTGATCAGTTTCTATCCATTGACACGCCCCCCCTCTTCTTTGTGGCAGCCATTAATATAATTAACTTATTATTAATATACTTTTAACAATTAATATACTTAATCGCTTTAGTCCATATGTATCATGACAATATACATTGCAATACAAAATGTATATCTCCTTGTCTCTTCTTATGCTCTTCTGAAATTTAGCATTTAGTTGGGAAACAGATTCTTTGTGTTTTCACTTTTATTTTCACAAAATTGGCATTTTATCTCTCTTTGCTTCCAAGCTATTTTTATGTTTCATCTTTAAGGGCTGGCGTGTCTTTCAGTCTGAGTTGTCCAGGAAGTCTCTGTCGAATCCAACCCATTAAGTCTAGTTTATTTGTTTCCACTGCTGTGGAATATTGTGAAGAGATTGGCCCGATAATTTTGTTTTCTTTAGTTTTAAGTTGCAGTTCTACAAGAAATTTGGGATCTGAACAATAGCCAGTGCCAGTTCTTCTTGTTTTGTTTCGTTTCTTTTGCTGACTCTTCCATCTTCACCTGCAAAACAGAATGTCAGTTCGATGTTTATGTTTTCCATCCAATGACATCTGTCTGTCTTTGAGGTTGCTGGCAATGGATGCAGTATTCTAGGTGTGGTCTTACTAAGGCTTTATAGAGTGCTATTAGTACCTCCCTTGATCTCGATTGTATTCCTCTGTTAATGCAATTTAGGATTGCATTGTTCATCGTATGTTTTAGTCTCCAGTCCCCTAATCCTGCTAGTTGCTCTTCTCTGCACTCTTTCTAGAGTCTCAACATCTTTTTTATAGTGTGGTGACCAAAACTGGATGCAGCATTCTAGGTGTGGTCTTACTAAGGCTTTATAGAATGCTATTAGTATCTCCCTTGATCTCAATTGTATCCCTCTGTTAATGCAATTTAGGATTGCACTGGGTTTTTTGGCTGCCGCTGCACACTGCTGGTTCATATTTGGCTGGTTGTCCACTAAGACTCCAAGATCCCTCTCCCAGTTACTGCTATTGAGCCTGGTTTCACCCAGTCTATATGTGTACTTTTGGTTTTTCTTGCCTAAGTG